TTGTGCTGCACTTCAGGTGCTCTCCTGCTGACCTGTGATCCTTCTTCTGACTCTGGGCGTCTGTTGCCAATGTTGGCATCAGTCTGGTAGGAGTGGGATGGATGTTTTAAAATGTTTAATTTTCATTTCAGGTAAAAAGAAAGAAAAGGAAAAGGAAAAAAAAGAGAAAAAGGAGAAAGATCATAAATCAAAACAGAAAAAGAAGAAGAAAAAAAAGAAGAAATCTAAACAGCACGGTAAGTTCAATTTACACTGAGTGGTTTGCTTATTTAAAAAAAAGGTATTTCTGACATGAGATATTAAAACTTGTTTCTAAACAATATGAATGTCAAATTTTAGAAATTTCAAAGACTAGATTTTGGCCTTAAATGTTGAAAGGACACTTAGATCTATGACCTCATTTTTGTATTTATAGCCTTTCTCTATGTGCTAGACATAGATATTTCATAGATATTTTTTATTCCTTCAAAAGATAGGCTTGCTGGTCTCATCTCTTCCAATTCTTCAGTTGAAGCTCTGTGTACACATCCTACCTATTTTGCTTGGACCGTAAAATTATTCTAGTATTTAGTTTGTTGCTAAATTTCAGTGGTTTACTGTATAAAATGCAGCTGCTCTGTAACAGTTAATCCTTAACAGCTGAGGTTGGTGTCTCTTGCCACAGCTTGGTTTGTTTTCTTGACAAATGGTGATTCTGTTTGTCCTCATCTCACTTCCCTATTCTGATTCTTCGATCATATCACTCATCTTTTTCTTTTCTCTGTTACTTCCGTTCCCTAGAGGGTCAAAAATAGTTTGTTTTCTAGCCATGAGGCTCTAGGTAGCTTGTCCTTTTTTAACAAAACAAAAAGTCTTTTCAAACTACTTTGTACTTTTTTTCCCCCCATGTTTGAGAAGTACTCCTGTAAGAGTGTAGTTTAAAGTTTTAGCGCCATCCCTTCTGTAACTTTCCTTGCATGATTTCTGTGGAAAAACTGGACAATGTTTGGGTTTTCTTTTTTTAATAGAAAGATAACCATCCTGCTGACTAGTACAGTTTTACTGTTTCTTTGTATTTCTTCCCATTTTCCACATCCTTTGGTTGTTTTAATCTCCCATAAAATCACATTACAGGTTCCTTGGTTTACCTATTTTTGCATCGAGTGCAGTCTTAGTTGTAGCATTATGGCAATAAAAATAACAGCATGGTCAAATGCAGACTGATTCTCTCTTCTGTTCTTGCCAAAGACTGAATTTTATTTTTTGTATACTATGCCTGCTTACTTTAAAAAGTGTTTCAGGACTTAAAATAATACTGATTATTTTTATTTTGCTGCTGGGTGTTTTGTGATTTTTTTTTTTGAGAACATCTTTCAATATTCAAAAATTTAAAAATGAGAACATAGACTGTCCTTTCTATGCTTATCAAATTGATTTTACTTTTGTGTACCTTGAGAGTCTACTTTACTAAATACAGTCGTAATAATTTTGATTAAAATGTCTTAAAATATGAGAAGGTGAAAACTTAAAACCTATCAAAGAATTTTCTAGATTTTTTTTTTTTCCTCAAGAGCATGCGGAAAAAACATATGCGTTAGAAGGAGCTTCTGACCACAGACTTGTAAGGATGCCTCGTGGATCTCTAGAATGATTATGCATTTGTCCAAAATTTGTGCTATAACATGAAAATGCTCCCAAATCATGCAGTGCTTGAATGTTAACTGCAGTAATCTAGATTGCAGTCTTGGCTACTTCATCTGTGATTATTAAAACATGGTCAAGCGAGTTAAAATTCTCTGAGTTCCATTTTTAGGAATATGTGCCAACACCTTGTGTACAGCAGTATCCCCAATGGCATTCTCAATGCAGTTTGATAAGAGTGAGGAAAAAAATGATTTATACCTCCAGTATATGACACTGAGTGTTCATGTAAAAGTCTTTGAAAAAGAACTTGCATGAAAATAAGCAGAATAATGATCGAAGTATTTGAAAAAAAAAAAGATCTTTGGAGCAGAACTGTTTTAATAGGTAATAAGTTAAGCTACAGATTTGAAATAAGGTCAAAACTACAATTATTTTTTTTTAATGGGGAAACACTGACAAAGTATTTCCCCAAGCCTTCTGTTTTATCTATTTCCCAAGAAAGAGGTAAATAGAGAGGTTATCTGTCATCTTTGATGTTGAATCCTGGAATTTAGATGAATCATCAGAACAGGCTGATGTACTGCACAACTTAGAAGGTTTAGGAGGAGATTGTCAGACTGGTGGTTCTCATCTGAGCATGTGATACTTTGCTGTTTGCGAAGTGCTGTGCTTGAGATCTGAGTCTAAGGCTTCGCAGTGTCTGGGGTTCCATACAGGTCCAACATGCCATGGGTTCTCCAAACTGTATTCATCCAAATTGGTTCAAATAGAGTACCTCTTGCAAATTAACATCAGAGCTGTGTTCTTGTGCCCAGTGAGGTGGTTCATTGTGGGTTTTGGTTGTTGGTTTGTTTTTTTCTTTTTATTCCTTTGGTCTTTTTGCCGACTTGTCCTGAAACTTAGAAGCTTTGCAGAGGTACCACGATTAGGTTCCAACTTCTAGGGGCTATATTCAATGCTTGTAAATATTAGGAGAAAACTATATACCTCCCAATGCCCCAACAAATACAAATCTTAAATCCAGATGCAGAAAGCAGTGTAAAACTTGAGCAGTTTATTCTTTGCAAATTCATCTTGAGAAAATCTGTTTCTAGCAATCCAGAGGTATTCTGCCTGGATTTCTTTTAACTGGGGGGAAAAAAGAAAAATGCTTTGGCAGATTCAGACTCTAGTGTCTGACCCTGAAAACGCCCACCGAAAAATGATCTGTCAAAAGAAACAGTCTTCTCTTTCTCCAAGACTAGCTCACTCTGCTCCAGGGCATGGTCAGAAATGAAAGGGTATGAGGCATGCTCTGTTCCTTTGGAATCGAATTGAGGCATCTTGGGGAAGAAGAGTGAGTGGGCACATTCTGTGCTCTAGATAAGTTTTGTGCAAGGCTTTAAAACAAACAAAAGAAAACCTAATAAAAAACTTTTTTTGTGCTCTGAGTATATGCATGATTGACTGTATAAAACCCATATAACACAAAAGGTAGGTAATTTCTGTTATTTATACTGTTCTCTTACAGTGAGGTTGATAGCAGTACAACATGAAATAATCAACTACTCATTGGTTTGACTCCTCTACAGCAAATATACTCAGGAAATGTGGTAGAGAGTGTGTTTTTGACAGAAGGAGAAAGTAAATATGAATCGTGGCTTTATGGAAGGTATTTAGGAGAGGAGCATATTGTGGAACCCATTGCAAGAAAACTGTAGGTACAAGTGGTAGCAGGCATGCTTCCTACAGAAGGATCAAAGTGTAGAAATCTGATTACTACTCGTTTATATTCAAAGTAATAAGTTTTAAGAGGAGTAAATGGATAGCTACTCTTAATTACCATTTGACCAGCATTAAAAAAGACATGGACCTGCTCGAGTGGGTCCAGAGGAGGGCCACAAAAATGATCAGCGGGTTGGAACACCTCTCCTATGACAAGCTGAGAGGCTGTTTAGCCTAGAAAAGACAAGACTCTGATAAGACCTTATAGTGGCCTTCTAGTACTTAAAGGGGACCCACAGGAGGGATGGGGAGGGACTCTTTATCAAGGGATGTAGTGATAGGATGAGGGGTAACAGTTTTAAACTAAAAGAGCCTAGATTTAGATTAGGTATTAGGAGAAAATTCTTGACTGTGAGGGTGATGAGGCACTGGAACAGGTTTCCCAGAGAAGCTGTGGATGCCCCATCCCTGGAAGTGTTCAAGGCCAGGTTGGATGGGGCTTTGGGCAATGTGGTCTAGTGGAGGGTGTCCCTGCCCATGGCAGGGGGGTTGGAACTAGATGGTCTTTAAAGTTCCTTCCAACCCCAACCATTCTATGATTTGTGATTCCATAACTGACCTGGGACAGTTGCTTCAGTCACTATTAAGGACAGGCTTGCAAATGTGTTCCTTGAGAAGTCTGTTCCTTGTAAATAATATATGTTAGAGGAAAATATATCATGCTGGTATCAATATAAATGTTAATACTGCTGTATTACCAGTAGGCAGAAGTGCACGGTGCACTTGTGTGCATGCTCTAACAGCCTCATCCTGCTCCTCTCTCTGCCTGAGCAGAGTGGAGGTCAACTAGGGAGAATATACAGATATACGTATGTACAGTGTGGATCCCTCCAGCAGCTGGGCTCAGCCACTCTCTGCCCAGTGGCTCTGAATCCCAGCCTTCCCAGTTGCTGGCACCTGGAGATAGGAGCCCCCGGGGCCACAGCCCCACTGCAGTACAGACCATCTCACTCATGTGCACACTCACACACTCCCAGAGTTGGCCAGGACTCCTCAGGTTCCCATAGCCCCCCTGGCTCTCACCCTTAGAGAGGCACTTGCACCCAGAGCTTGCCCTTGCAGGCCCACTCATCCCTTGCTCCAAGGCCACTTCATCTGCTCACCAGCTGATCCAGCTTAATCCCTGCTAACAATCAGCCACTTGTGCTGGCTCCAGGTGCTGTAGCATGAACTCAATGGGCCTCTGTGACCAGAGATCCCTTGCAAGTGGCTGGCGCTTCAGTCACTCTGAAGTCCTGACACCACCAATGCATGAGCCCTTCAACCTGTGATCTGACTCCATTTGCTGGCACTGACCCCTGTACACTGAATAGAGAGCCTCTCCCCTGGGTAGGAGTTAAAAATGGGGTTTAATAAGAATCACAGAATTGTTGAGGTTGGAAGGGACTTCGGGAGGTCTTCTGGTTCAACCCCCTTGCCCAGGCAGCACCACCTAGAGCCAGTTGTCCAGGACTCTGTCCAGACAACTTTTCAATATCTCTAAGGAGGGAGATGCCACCACAGGTAGGACAGACTGTGCTGATCAGACACAGGGCATGGCCAGACAAGCGTACTGACCAGCAAACTATGTACAACTGGCCCTTTCAATCCCCTTGTTCCTCCCCAAATCACTTAGGTCCATCCATTTTCCCCACATTTGGTTCCTTCCCTAAACATTCCACAATAAGTGTTGTGCAATCCCAAAATAATTTTTCTCTACATCCCACCCCTGGGCTGCAAACCCCCTCAGTCTAGAAGGTGATCCAGAGAGCTGCTCTGGGTAACATGTGATGGGTTTCACGCCTGGATAATGGGGGACAGCCCTGGGAGGCGCCTGGGCAGGGCGGTATGTGTACCTGCCCATGATGCTCCTCTGGGCTTGCACATACCCTACTGGGATGCTTGGCAGTGGTGGACTGTCTGCTGGTGGACTTGGTAGTGTTGGGTTTACAGCTGGACTCAATCTTAAGGGTCTTTTCCAACATAAAAGATTGTATCAGTCTGTGATGTTCCCAGGCGCCATCGGCATCTCAGGAGGGTTTTCTTTGGGTTCCCTGTGCTCTTCTGCAGGTGTGCAGACAAGGTTTTATCACTTAATCTGACAGGACAGTCTGCAGTTGCTTCTAGGTAGCAATGTTGGTAGTGCTACAAACAGACCTAAGGCAAAAAGAGAGAGCTACCAGCAGCATCTCTAAGGATAGCAGATGGTACAGGATGAATTGTAGGGGGGAAAAAAGGCTGTATAATGTTTTAGGGAAAATTATTTCTCTGTACATTCAGAGATGGAGTGGAGGGGGGAGTTAAGTGGGTAATGCCTGTCTTTGCTATTAAACTGCATTATGTTTCTTACTGGAAATTTTTTTTATGAAATATTAAGAGCTTTTACTATTTCATATTTACAGTTTCATCTTCCTAATACCTCAATGTTGATATTCTTTACTTCTGAACATAATGTTACAGTATACTTAAGTATTCTTTGGTTTTGTTTGGTTTTTTTTTCATTTGTCATAAACATTTCTTTCCATTTGTAACAGCGACTTATTTTCTTTTAACTTTTCAGATTATTCAGATTATGAAGATAGTTCTGTTGAATTCTTGGACAGGTGCTCCTCTCCATTAACACGGTCCTCAGGGAGCTCTCTGACTTTGCGCAGCATGTTCTCAGAGAAGAATACATCATACCAGTATCCAAGAGCTATCTTGTCTGTTGACCTTAGTGGAGAAAGTAGGTTGGCTGAACAGCACCTTTCAGTTTGTAGGCTTAATTCTTTGAGGAACAGAATTTTAAGGGAAATAATTTGGTTTATGTTTGTGATTGTAGCTGTAAATATGGTGGCTGATTTATACTTCATCTATTTAAATCAAAATGCTTAAACTGTTCTGCATTGTACTTGTTTTGATTAAGTGTTGTTACTCTACGTCTGAGGAGATCACATTAAAGGCATTTTGCAGAATTCATCAGGAAATCTAACATACCAGCAGTGTGTTTGAGAGCGATTTTTTGCTATATGCAGGTTAAGATTTTTAACTGCCCAAGACCTCTGTAATTCTGTAAAATATTGCATCTCTGCACAGACAATTTCACATGTATTTATTTTTACTAGACCTTTCAGATGTGGAGTTCTTGGATGATTCCTCTACAGAGAGTTTGTTACTTAGTGGTGATGAATACAATCAGGATTTTGATTCAACTAACTTTGAAGAGTCTCAGGATGAAGATGATGCTCTCAATGAAATTGTTAGATGCATTTGTGAACTGGATGAAGAAAATGGCTTTATGATTCAGGTAAAGAAGTACTGGGGGGGACTGTGTCTTTCATGTGAAGCTCTTGCTTGTGAAGGTGCCCTTCTGATGTGTTGGAGACCAAAGTTGTTTAGAGAGCTGTAAATAGTGAAGAATAACAAAGTATTTCTATGTTCTGCACTTGGTGTGAGTCTGATGTATGCAGAACTATTACTCTAGGATGGGGTTTCTCTAGCTATTTGATTTGTAGAACAGTTTTGTAAGGAAAGATAACCTTTTTTCTTTATAGCCAGTTGATAAATTTGGAATAAAATATCCCTTCCTGCACACAAATCATCACTTCTGTCCAGAGACCATCCCGATTATACCAGCCCTTCTGATTTCTCCCTTGCACTTTGCAGTACCAATTGTAGATACTCTGCTTGCTGTAAATGTACGTCAGCTATATCCAAGATCTCAGCTATACAGACGTTAATATCATCAGTAACCGTGGTGTGCGTGATGTGCGTGCTTCATCTTTACAATAGCAGTTCTCAAACTAGAAATCACTATCTGGTTTTAGAAACTGCTAAGAATTTAAATCTTACTTGGTATAGAACTAAGAATATACAGTGTCTGCACAGCACTCAGGTGCTGATGGATTGCAACTACTGCAGCTTGCTTATTTGTTCTCCAGTGAGGGGAGCATTTCCCATCTAGATGAACAATTTAAAGGCTTTGTCTCAAGAAATTCATACTATAGCGATAAAATCAGATGCAAGCAATAGGGAGGAAGAACTCAGTTGTCAATAACTTTTAAAAAAGCCATGAACTTCCTGTGTTTTTTTTCCCCACTCAACAAACAGGTTTGTATTCAACTATTAACATGGTGTAGTTTCTATTGAAAATACGAAGCCTTTTTAGTTGAGACTTGAAGGAAGCAAGTATGGCTGTACTGTGTTAATGGACTTAAAGTCTTTTGGAAATGACAGAAAGACCTGAAAATGAAGGACACAAAGACTGTCCCGGGGAAGCCATTACTGAAATGCAGTGCTGTGTTGGAGGAACTAATCAGGAGTTCAGCTATGGTAATAACACGGACAAATGGACTGGTGTTAGAAATCTTCGGAGAGAGGAGAGAAAATTGTAGCTATACTGATATGACAAGAGGAAAGGTGACTTCAGCATTTGAGTAGGCTGATGCTCAAAAGCATGTCAAAGCAAAGAGGAGAGACTTTCAGTAGTAAACCAGCAGATATTTAGAACACAGGCAAACACTGAGTTGAGAAAGGGAAACATGCTTTTAAGTGGTAGTTTCCTGCCTGTTTCTAAAGTCCAGTGACAGCCTGATTTTGATCATTTATCTCCTCTTCTTGCCTTGTCTCACTGAGAGCAACCAGTTTGCTGTTTCTAGGCCCTCGTGTCTTACCACTTCTATTTTGCTCTCCTATTCTCTTGTTTCTCCTCTTTCATTTTCTCTTCATTTTCTTTTTCTTTTAGATTTTCCATTGGTGCGATATTAAAAACACATCTTTCTAGCGCACTGGAGAGATGCTTTGTAAATATAAATAATTAAACTGAAGAGTTTTCTACTTTTCACTGTTATGCTGTAACGTATTACATTATCTTTCTACTTTACTGTAATATTATACTCCTGTCTTATGTTTCACTACTAAATATTTAGGTGCTAAAATACTGAATGTTGTAATAAAATATTATTAAATATTACATCTTCAATTTCTTTTTTCTTTTTTTTTCCAGTCTGGAATTTGTGGTTGAGGTAACTTTCAGAACTAGAGCTATTTTTTTACCTTGATGTCTTTGCCTACCCAAACACAAATCGCCCAACTAAAATAATCTTACTCAAACCAGCTATTTAAGTTAAACTGCTGTTCTCTGCATTTTGACGATACAAGAAATAATTTCTGCTTTTTTAATCTACTTATCTCAGTTTTAGTTTTTGCCTTTTTTTTTTTTTCTGATGTCAGTGTGAAGAGTGCTTATGTTGGCAGCACAGTGTATGCATGGGACTGTTAGAGGACAGCATTCCAGAGCAGTACATCTGTTACATCTGCAGAGATCCGCCAGGTACGGGTAAATCACCTTTATCTGCAGCTGTTTGCTTGGGATTTTTAAGCAAAGATGTTATGTATTGCTCATATTGTAAAAGCTTTGTCTGTGTTGTGTTATCTGTTATATTTCTTTGGGGCAAGTGCTTCTACGTTTGGCTCTGAGCAGAAACTTTCCTGTTAGTAACATCCTATTCAGCTATGCTAAATCTTATTAATGATCTTAATTACCATCGCTTTAGTTGTTGAAACTTAATTCCCCTGAAACCTTAGTGCTTTATCACGTTATTGTAGTCTGAAAAGTTTTCTAAACAAATCATTCTTGCTCAGCGATCTGTTTTGCCTATGCTTGGAATCACATCTGTTCATTTAAATACATTTTTTTTTAGAGAAAAAGGACTCATTACCACAGTACACTCAAATATGCTGTGGATGTCATTTCATATTAATTGCAATTGTGTAATGTTTGAATTTGTCCAGAATTGTGTAGATAAAGGTGTGGAACTGAACATGTAAAATATGGAAAAAAATCTAGCATATTTATGGTAAACAATAGCACACAAATAGCACATCTTGAAGATTTAAGATTTTTAGGATAAGTTTTAAACGGTAAGAATTAGGAAAAGTCTATTTACTTTTAAACTGAATACATTTGATTAGGAAAATGATGTTTTTAAAATTATTCTGTCCGTAAACCCATTTTTCTTAGCAATTATTTGGAGAAAAACTATATGATTTCAAAGAAAAGTTTTCGTATTTTTCCTGACAATTGATACAAATGCACATACATGTGTTCTGGGGAAATAGCCAGCAGTACAGCTGCTTTAAAAAGGCAACGAGACAACACCCGCAAACTTTTGTTTCATTCTGAATTTAAGAAATGAAATCTGAAAGCTGTTTGCAGAAGTATAAAACAGCACAGTTTTAGTTATTTTTAAGAAGAAAACTTGGGAAAATAGAGCTGGAAAGATATGACTTTCCATTTGCCCCAGTGTGAATCTAAATTGATGGTATAGAGTCTTGTTTGATAGTTCTGTGTGGTGTACTCTTTGAGCAGTCAAGCTTTTTCTTATTAAAACCAACTAATTTGTCTTGTGTTCTTTCCCTGCACTGTACTAGGTACTTCGTTATCCCCTGCTATGCAGAGACTGTGTCCCTAATTTTTATCTTCTCTCCCTTCCTAACCATTACTTCTTTTCTTTCTATGTCAGGAGAAAAAGGTCATTCACAATGTCAGTATTTTAAAGTGTATTGGGATAATGGGCAGAAAGGAGATAGACAGGGTATTCTCCTGAAAGGTATGAAGGGCTTCCATCAACCCATTCTTTGTTCTGTATATGATGATAGTCTGATATGAAATTGAGTGTAAGATATTGCCGTCTTAGTCAGTCTGTTTGTCTGGGTTCCTCATTGTAAACAATAATATTGGGATAATTATCATTATACTTCTCTAGTTTTGGGGTTTTTTGTGGGTTTTTTGAGTCTTTTAATGGACTGCTTTTTGTTTTTTTAAACAGTTATTAAGTTACTATAGAAGCATTAGCTAAATATTCATTCATGGCTGTTGGGTTAAGGTTGTAGATGTTGCCATAGCATGGGAGACCTAAGGCCCGCTCATATCAGTATCCTGTCTAGTAGTGTCTGGTAAAAGGCATCTCAAAGGAGAGTGTAAGAACTCTGCTGTCAGGTAACTTTGAAAAGTCCACTTTTCACGAAGCCTTCTCCTGGCTTCTAATAAATAGATATTGACTTCACTATTGAAGCAAAATATTTGTGTCTCGGAAACAAACTAGGGGTTTTGGATATGTCCGTATAAAATCCACTCTGTAACATTTCTTATGGTAACTTAGTTTTTCTTTTTTTTTAATAAGTAAACTGCAGTAGTTAAATAAAGTGCCAATTTAAACGGGTTTTTTGCAGTTAGATTGATAATAGCACAGTTCTTAATATCCTCTACTTTGATTGTAAAGGTGATTAGATTTTCATTTCAAGTGCCATTTAGAGAGGTCTTGAGATTTCAGGTTTATTTTTGTTTTCATAAGCATTAAGAGTTTCCTCTTAATCCATGTAAACTAAATTGTAATTTATGAATAGCAATTGAATCATTCTTTCGTGGATATTAGGAGACATTTAGGGGAGTACAGCGTATAATTATAGCACTCTAGTTTTAAATACAATTCTGCTGTGGCTTTAGATGGCCCTCAAGTTGTTTATTGCTTACCCCAGGTCAGAGGTGGAGTGCCAAATATCTTTATGATAAAGACTGGCTAAACAATGGACACATGTGTGGATTATCATTTTTGAAAGAAAACTACTCTCATCTTAATGCCAAAAAGATTGTGTCAACACATCATCTACTGGCAGACGTATATGGTGTAACTGAAATACTCCACGGACTGCAGTTGAAAATTGGGATATTAAAGTAAGTATCAGTCGTGGGTTTATTCTTCATCTTTATATATTTAAGTAGCAGAGACTACCGTTATTCCATATTCATTGTTCTCTCACAATAAAGTTCTTTCTTGTATAATAGTTTAAATAATTCAAGTGCAAGATGTGGAGTACCCTCAGCTTCAGTGGGAGTTCAGCACCTGAGCGGATCTCGTATATTTGGATTATTGTTGGTTGATTGATTGATTTTATAGTCAATTTTGTGTTAAAGGGACATTCTGGATTTATTCTAAATTGATAAGTGGCCTAGGAATACTTACATGTTTGATAATGGTGCTTATCAATAGCTATAATCTAGCAGTAGATGCTTAATAGTTCAGTGCTGTAAATGGTATTCTCTTATAACTTGCTTTTTTTCCTCCCCTTCATTACAGAAATAAGCATCACCCAGACCTTCATCTCTGGGCTTATTCGGGGATGCGAAAAGAACAGGAACAAATAACTGTTGGGGTAGAGAAAAAATTAGTGACTTTGCCAGATGCTGTTAATCCAACTGAAAGGACGTGTCACAGTCAAAACCATAAAGAGCCGCCCAGTATACCCCAGAAGATGGAAGAAACATACATCACAAGTGAGCACAGTTACCAAAAACCACAGTGTTTTGGTCAAGACTGCAAAGCAGTCACTGACCCTATGAGCTCAGATGATGAAGATACAAGTAGTTTTGAGGAAGATCAGGAATTTCACACAGAGAATAAAAACTGTTTACAATATTCTTTTAAAGATGATGGCGTGAATCAGCAGGTAAGTATCATTCTTCATGGGAAGTTTCTTAGCTGGAAAAATCTTTTCCATCTGATAAAACTCAAGCACATGCAATTATTTAGAAATGCTCATTATTGTAACTCAACATATTCTATCACATATGTCAGCAGAAATCACTAGAAGCAAAGTTAGATCACTGAAATAGTTTCAGGTGAAGTATACCCACTTCAGTTGGTGAATGAAATGCAAAGTATAGTTAAAGTATTGCCTGTGCTAAAAGTGTTTATGCTCAATCCAGTGTTTTTGGGGAGAAGAATAATCCTATGCTTAAAATGCAGGGTCTCGAAACACAACGTAGGTGTTTCTTGTGAGGAGAATGGGACAACTTTCCTTTTTTTCTCTCAATTCTGTTTTCTATGTGCAGGTGGTGTTTTTGTTGTTGTTTGTTAAACTGAGATTTGTAATAGCGTTTTTTATTGTACCATCGTCGTCTTTTAACAGCGACACTATCTAGAATTCTGTCCACAACTAATGATTTACTGACCAACTAATTTCACCACATATGCAATTTCTTTTGAGTCTTGTTTCACAGGTTTTTAGTCAGATTTATATTTGGTTATTTAAACCTCTCTCATTTTGGCATTAATGGTTTGAATCCATTACTTTGTGGAAGAGGTCTGAAATTTGTTAGTCTGGTTTTAGTGACGAGTTCTCTTTGAGCAAAAAAACAAAGTAAACCAAACCTTTCTGTTCTCTACAATATCAACTGTGCGAGAATAAATCGCCCAACTCATCCCCCTTTTGAAGTACAGTTTCTGGTGTGGAAGAAATGAGTAAGATATGTCTTTTCTCTTTTAATTTTAATTTTAAATGTGGCATGTGAGCTATATGGTCTGAATGGAAAATTTTGGCTCATTCTAGTTAGAAATAACTGTTTGTATGCTAAATTGCATGATTACACTCAGTTTGTGTAGTAAGGAGACATGCAGCAGTGTGAAATACACTTTCCTTCCAACAGTAGCTTAAATTGTCATTGCAAGTAGTATAAATATATTTAAAATAAAGTATATGTGAGCAGTGAAACAAAACTAATGTTTCCTTCAGAGACTAAATCTCTCTTTCTTAAACCAGGCGATCTGTTTGGGGCAGTGTCAGAGTACTTTTTCCTTTGGGATACCTTAGTTCACCTTGTCAGTAGTCAGCCTTGGTATCTGAAATAACACTTTCTGTCTAGACTTACTACACATTGAAAAGTTCTTCTTGGTTTTTCCATGAACCTGTTTGTACTTACCTTGAAATTGTAATGACACTGGCATTGAAGTGCTATTTTTACATGAACTGACTTCTCTGTAAGGTACCTTCTTAACCTCTCCTTGTCAAAGTTTTGGTTGGGGCTTTGGATTCTCCTTTCTAGCATCCTGCAGAGCTTTGAATATTCTGATTTTCCATACTGTTTTGTCTTACCCTAGTCTACAGTTCTGTTACTTATCATCTTTTCTCTAATAAACAGTGTTCAGATCAACCATTATCAAGGCCCTTTTTGGACTATGCATCATCTTTAAAATTGTATGTAGTTTCCTTGTTCTTGCTTCTGAAAACATGAGCCTCCCCCACCTGAACCTCCCACTTATTTCTTCACAAGCTGGGTCCTGTACTCTGCTTCTCCTACACCTCTGCCACCACTCCCCCATTACATACATTGATCTCTTAGCTTAGAGGAAGACCTGTTTGACTTTGTGATGGTGTTTTGTTTGGGTTGGTTTTTTTTTTTTTTCAAGGAGCATTTACTAGCTGTTTGAATAAATATAGAGGTTATTAAAAGAAAAAAAAATATTTTCTGATGTTAAGTTACTTAGCTTTAAGATTTTATCTAACTTAACTGCAGTGGGCATCTAAAAGATTCACCTAACAGATGATTCTTGGTTTGAGAATTAAGGACTTGGGTCCTCCTATGACAAGGGAAAAACGATATTCTTCTCTTGTGGTTTTAGCGATTGTCTGAAAATTGTAAGAAATGGAGCATTTCTTATTTATGTTGGAAATATCCTTTATAAAGATTAATAACAGTTTGAATAGTGAAAACACCGTGGAGGCAAACCTGATGTCTTGAGAGATGAAAGATTTTATCTGAAAGGTTTGAGAGTTTAGAGGGTTTTATGACTTTGGAAATCTATCTTTGGTAAATAACTTTAACTCCTTTAATGAATATTGTGAGTATTAACAATACTTGTCTTCCATGACTCACTCAAATGTTGTCAGCAGGTCAGTCCAAGTTTTGTTGGGGTTTTTTAGATTAGTTTTAAGTCTTAAAAAGAAACAGTTATTTTTTTTTTTTTTGCTTAAGAAGTGACTTAAAATCCGTAAGTCCCTATTTTCTTCTTCTCCCTCTCTTCTGTTAAGTCTGCTATTATGTGACATGGAAAAAAAAAAATCAGCTGAGCACTTCATCAGAGAAGTGTATTAATACAATAAAATTCACTCCTTGCTCTGGCATTTGCCATGACCTGACACTGTGTGAGCATACGTATCCAGCATTTTAGTCCCTAAAATAGAATCATCAATAGTGAAAAAAACTTAATCAGATAGGAAGTCATAGCAAAGATGAAAAGTGTTAATCCTGCTAATTAAGGGAGATACCAAACACTTTAACTCATTAAATCCAGTATACCTCCTTTGGTCATTTTCATTAGCTGAGATGTCATACACAGAAAGATGAGGAACTTGTGTATTATCTCTGACTTGCTGTGAAGATACTAATTGTTTCAAGTAGTCATGCTTCCTCAGATACTCTGTTTGCATAACTCTTCACCTTACTGCCCTTGTAACTATCCCCAGATGTGTTCAACTCTATCCCAGGCTTGTGCTTGCAAGTTACATGGGACCACAGCAGTGGTAGGAAGAGAAGTCTTGTCTTAATCAACAAATAGAATGGCCAGATTATTTGTGCAGAATAATGACTTTTGACATCTTGGATATTACTGCGTTTTAGGGAGTTTTCAATCATTCTCTGGCTAAGTTGAAACAAACCTTAGGGTTTTACACGCTTTTGGCGATGGTAGACCGACGCAGTTCAGCACTTCATGATTTAAGTCACGATTTGTATAAAAAGGGCACAGAAGTGCAGTCTGTCTTGCTGCATTAAGCAAAGTGCTTGAGCTAGTAAACTACCTCTTGTCTCACTCCCCCAGTGCTATACGTGCTCATTTGTATGGAATTTGCATTTTGTTTGGTTTAGTCTATTGATGTGTCATGGTACATGGCTTTTCGAGTATGCTTTTTGTTGAGTAGATGTAAGTACGATTTTAAAACAGCAGAGTTTATCGAGTGACTCAAGTATTGATATCAACACCAGAAATTTAAAAAGACAAAACAAACCCACTTAAATGGCAATTTTTTTCTTTCTGTTGCTCCTATGAAGAAGAATTCTCCTGAAGGAAACACTGTGTTTGTTTGTAATGAAAGAAAAGGCTCAGAAGAACAAGTTGACACACATCTTCAATGGCAGCTAAATCTCCTTACCCATATAGAGAATGTACAGAATGAAGTCACCAGCAGAATGGACCTGATTGAAAAAGAAGTTGATGGTAACTGCATTGCCAGATACTTGTTAATACACCTGTAACAGCATCTTTCATTGCCACTGTGTTGAAGGTGATCTGAGGCACTGAGGACGGATTTTTAAGTATTGTATTCAAATTTGGATACCCAAAATTATAATCAGAGTTTCTACCCTTGATCTCCCCATCCACTTCCACAAGTTTTGAATGCCCAATAAAGTAGCTTAAGCACTTAGGACCCCTGAAAATTTAGCTCAAGTTTGTGATATCAGGCAGGCTTCAGAAAACTTAGATAACTTGGGTAGTCTTTGTCCAGATATGGATCATATGGATTTCTACACCTGGAATGTCTTTGGCCTGATCATTCTAGTATTTGACAATATTTAGGAGAAGAAAAAAAAAAAAAAAGTGTTCATTCTGCCTTCAACTTTGGTTTGCTATATATTAGTAAATAACGGGTGTCAGGAGGACAAGTCAGGCTTCCTGAGAAAACTTGAATGCGTTGATACTGAAGGAGTAAATATTAAGGCATATAAATTTACTCGACAGTCAGAAATTAAGAATGAGGGGAGCTTGTAGTCTAGTCATAGGAGTTTGTAATTATCTTTTTACAACTAAAGTTGTCGTACTACTATTTGCAGTTTTACTTTCAATATTCCTTCTTGTACTAGTCAGTATTTCTAGGCTAACAGGGTTGACTTTTTTCCCTTCTCTGTCTCTACAAGCATAGAAATTCCTTGAAAAGTATTTATTGAAGATTGGAAAACCATTCTGTAAGCTGAACCTTGGAAACAGGAGCCTGTTAAAGGGACAGAAGCAAGCCTTGCATTTAAGGATTGCATTTTCTGTTGCAGAACTGTCATAGCTGGAGGGCTGTGAACTGAGGTTTCTTTTATGTGTGTAGATGTTAAATTGTTAGTCAAAGGTATAATTTGTTCCCAGGTACCTTTTTATAGTAACAATCAAATCAGAAGATATGTTTGGGTTGAGTGAAACACGGAATTAGTTGGCGTTTCCCTAATAAACATTTCTTCTGTTAAATAAAAATCACGGCCTCAGTATATTTTCCCTTCTTATAAAAGTCAGAGTAAGAAAGAAAAGTTTAATTTTCATGAAAACTGTTTCTCAAAGACTTATTCTAATCAACTTCCTTTTCCTTCTGTAGTTTTAGAAAGCTGGCTTGATTTCACTGGAGAACTGGAACCACCAGATCCTCTGGCAAGATTGCCTCAGCTCAAGCGACGTATCAAACAGCTCTTAATTGACATGGGGAAAGTACAGCAAATAGCAACGCTTTGCTCTGTATGACAAAAGGAAGAATAAAGAAATAAAAATAGGTTCTTTACAGTGAATTTTCTTACTAGCCACACAAGACTGACAGGAAGACAGCAGAAAGCTGAGCATTTATCGGGTTCTTTGCTGATTACATTAATAGCCTGAAGCGTTAGAGACAGGAGAGGAAATCTAGAGTAAGGAAGGAATCTGTTATATTGAAAATCTGAATATTCAATGTCCAAGCTTCAAAATGTAGTATATTACATACTGAGAAATGTTGATATGATTTTAACATGATAAATAAGGAAATCCCAGCATATAAGACAGTTAAACAAACAAAGAACAACGCTATTATTTTGAAACCTTTGGCAAAAAATTCTAAATTAGCAGAATTCAGCTGACTAAAAATTCGTGGGACCTCCTTTTTTAATAAATTCCTCTTATCTTGCTAGTGAAAGGTAGACGGAGAGATCTGTATCCTCTCTGCAAGGAAAGTTTTTTAGATTATTTCCTTCTCTCATGAATGTTCAGGAAAATGAACATAGTAGCTTTGATTTTTGAAAGAAATTGCTTATCATGGTCTCCTTTTTAAAGTATTTTTTTAAATAGATATCCTTATTACAGCACCCTTAGGCTCCTTTAAAACATAAGTGGCAAATAGTGGTCAGATGTGCCAAATAATATTAAAACCACTGGGATGAGAGTTTGATTATGACTTACATGAAGGGTTTTTTTTTTTTCCAAAGTCCTACTCAGTGCCAGCAATCCATCCAAAATTGTATCTAGTTTATATTTTTTTATGTTATATTGCAGTATTCAGGATTCAAGGTACAATTTTTTCCTGGGTAGCTCTGTTCTGGTGTTGGCCCTCTGAAACTTTACCATCCTCAGCTGGGATGAGGAATGACAAGAGCTGCAAAACTGTCTGTGGCTGTGAATATACTAAACCACTAGAATAAATATCACAAGATACGTTATCCAAGATGTTTTTATAAAATCTTTCAGCTTCAGTGAATGAAACTTCATGAAACCAAAGGCAACCTACTTGCTCTGTTAGCTCTTGCTGGATTTTAAGCCCAGGACTTTCTCTGTGCTTATAAGTTGCCGCTGTACCCAGTGCTACATACATATTTGTATGTATATGTGTATAGATACACATGTACATATATACATACTGTATACATTTATATCTACACATGTCTAGTTTTATTACAATAGACTATAAGAACTGGTGGTTAACATGAAATGTTACCTTTTAACAAGCAGTTTCTAAAATTGAAAATAATGTATGTACAGGTTTTGAAATTTGTAAAATATGACTGTTAAAAGGAGGCTATTTAACTGATGACATTAAGATACTTGAACATTTTATGCCTCACGTCTGTTTATCAGTTCTAGTTATCTGTATAAATGCATTTTAGAACCGATAGACAGTAAACTTGAATTTACCTTTTGATAAGAGTACAAGCCACTGTACATTCAAAAATTATTTAAATTTGCAAACACACTGTTCTATATGTAAGGTACTGTATGTAAAACTGTTTATTAAAACTATTCTGCATACTCTACATTTTCCACTTTTCTTCCTGATCTACATGCAAATGTAAAAAAGTGATTGTTATAATGTACAGACCATCAAAAAAATCTTGGAATGCCTTTTGAGGATGCATAAAATGGAGAAATGTGCCAAAGATGGATTATCCGGGAAAGACTTTGCAACCAGTGCATTGAACTTCCATGATAAAACCATTATTGAGAAAGAAAGCAGCATGGCTGGTTCATTGCTAAAATAAACCTACCCTGACCTTTCCCCTCTATCATATCTGAAGTGAGTTAGCACTCTTGATGTCCAAAACAAAATGTAAACCCCTGTAACAGAGTGGTTGCTATTTAAAAAGTCTTGCCACATCAAGCTTGTAGGAGACATTACAGAGCTGTATGGTTACGTGGAAGTTAATTACGGGATCATGATTGGCAACTTCATCATGCAGAAAGAACACAAGAGCTGAGGAGTTGTTGACATTTTTATAGCAACTGTTAATAAATAAATACTCTGTGTTATATAGTTGGATGCTTAAATAACTGCTTCAAACAATATGAATAGTTGAGTGACCTACTTGCTTTTGGATATGTGAGACTTTTTTCTGTATTATTCACTTGCTGCATATCCTTGAATGTGGTACTGTGTCTACTGTATAAGAAAAGTGTAAATCCAGATGAATTACTTTGAAACAAAGTGGAGTGTATTTACATAATTTATACAGCATACACTGTAGCAATATTATGCAATGTGTGTGCATGCGTGTGATGTAATATAATTGTAAATGTTACTGAAGGTTGACTGAGAGTTTCCAGGTGGGAGGATGGAGATTTCTTTCTTAGTGCGGAGATGGAGGAATGGTATCCTGAAAAGGAAATCGTAAGGTCAAAGTTAAAGTTGCCCTTTGCAGCTTTAACTTGTCTTCTGTTTGTATACACAATGGTCTCTAAATTTACATGGGTATGTAATTTTATTCCTCAGGATCCTGCCTTATTCAGGATGGACTGTGCTTACAAAAACAAATTATTTAGTATTTTTTTATCTTCATGTGTAGTCATGTATTATAAAAATTCCTGCAAGCGTTCATATCTTCTTAGAAATACAACCTCGGTGTCCTTGTGGACAGTGCTGTGATACATTGTGTATTGCTTGAATGCTTCACAAACTTGTCCGAGTTTGCTTTCTCAAATTGTGATGTTAGTCTGTAACTTGGGAGCTTTAGTTTTGGCCCCAGTTTCTCAAGTATTCAAAGGTTTGGGATGCTTTTGAAGTTTATTTTCTTAAACACTTACAAGTCAAGTGCCATAAAAATCCTAAGTGTTTTGCACAGAATGTAACCTACAAAGTCGATTGCTTTGCTCACGTGCCAGTCAAACCCGATGTGATCTGGCTCCTACCAGTATTTCTTCTGGTTGGCCTTATCGAGAGAATCTTCTTCCTGTAGGCATCGTTTTCCATCTGTCTTCCTGCTGCCTCTGTAAATAAGCCAGGGATCTACACGCAGTCGTTTTGCAGTGGCATTTATCGGGGCGTGAATTGCAGTGACTTGTGCTGTATGATGGAAGCAGACCCTCTCTGAGGAGGAAATAGTATATGGCGAAGTAAGGACTCTTTTTGATACGTGTGCACAGAAAGATAAAATTTAAAAATTTTCAGCCTTCTTTTAATAAAGTTAATAATAGCAATGAACAAAAGGGAAATGCCATTGTGCAGAAGCCTCTTGTGAGTTCATAGAGCTAAATAATGGCAAACTTATGGACCCTTTAAATGCCCAGGGTTTTGTCTGAGGGTTTTTTTGTTTTGTTTTGGATCGGTTTTTTGGGGTTTTTTGCATGGAGTTATCAGGGTGATTAATTTCGAAGCCGCCTTCTTCCTGTGATCATACCGTAGGCATCTGCATCAGGAATCCTGCATTTTCAGTTGCAGTGATGGCAGTAGGACATCAGTATTGCAGTTGCAACTGAAACGTAGTCTTAGTGACGTGGTCAGATATCATATGATGGGGCTGCCTATGTTTCAGTTACAAAATGGGGGTGCTTCAAGTCATATGGCAGGGAATGGGTTGGAAGATGCTTCCCGCAAACCCTTTTCTTGGGTAGCTGTGGTTTGAGTAGTGCCTGTATTTTGGATATTCTGGCCGTAGACCCATAGATCTTTGTAAGTTACTCCATAGCTGAACAGTGGTAGAAGCCTGTTGTCCTCTTTAAAGTAGTCAAAGAAGATGAGTTGCAATTTTCTGATGGATTTCACATATTTTCTGGCTGGCAAAGAATTGAAACTGTTCTTCCATGGGTGCAGTCCTCTTGTATGGCTGACATCCACCTGTCTCTCTTAATTTTGTCTCTAAGCTTCTACATGTGCTCCTCATATGTTTGTTCTGCAGCTTGCATCTGTTTCTCTTTTTGTCCTTCGGCTTTCTGCACTCTGTCATCTTCTGTGATGCCTGGAGGTTTTCACCCCTCTGTTCTTCTGCCCAGTCCTTTCCGGCTGCTGTGGGAAGCAGTCGTAGGGAAGGGTCTCCTCTGCTCTTCTGTCCTTGATCTCTTCTGTCCTCAGCCTCCAGTGTGTCCTATGACGTGTGTACAGTTGGGTTGTGCATACTATGATCAAAATCTTCAGATCTTTTACTGTCTTCCTTTAGTGAGCCTCTTCTGGTCTTGTCCAACTGGTGATCTCCCTCTACTCCCATCTGGCTTCTAACTTAACTAGACTTGGATGAATACTGGTGCTATTGGGCTCCAGTGCTCCTTCCCGGACTGATGTGGGATGTGTCACTCGAACATCACAGTAAAATTACAAAAAAAAAAATGTCTTGATGCTTGCAAATCAGAACATTTTTCCTTTGTATTTGAAGGGAAACTGCAACTATTTTTCTTCGCTGAAACTTGAAAGACAAAACAGATCCAGAACTGAACTGGAGCTTGATGTAAAAATCAACGAGAAGAATAGGGGGTGGGAAGCACTCTGCGAACGGGAGATACGTAACAAGAAGTGTGCAATCAGGCCATCTTGACTGCCTTGCCCTGTTAGTGGTTACATGGAGGTGCTGATGTGTCAAGGGGGTGCATGCAATGATGCCGTTCATTTGCAAATGGGACCCATCTTTGCCACGTCAGTTTGGAAGACCAGAACCCTGGGGTTTCTCTCTACTGCTTAGAAATGCTGCAGTACATGCACCTTAATTTTGGAGTGCTTATTAAGGTCAGAGGCTTAATCATTGTCGAAATGCCCATTGCTATCCTCACATTTTATTAGCTGACACTTTTTTTTTCCTGTTGTACTGAGTCCATATGCCTTTAGGTGATCACTTTACAGAGCACGTTTTGAAATACTTCAGTAATGGTTTTTATTATACTATGTTATGTCCTGGGCGCTGGGTGTGGGGGGGTCTGTCGTTAGCAATAAGTATTATACACTATGTGTATATCTGTTTATATATGGAAAATAAGTATGGAGCATGTAATGACGGTGAAAATACACTGCACAAAGAGCAGATGGTGCATTTGGCCGCCATTCTGCATCAGCCTGAACAACTCGAATAAAACATTGGAGACTGCACGGAGAAAACGAACTAGCGTGAAAAATCCTTCAGGAGTGAATTTCCCTTTCCGTACACACCGGGCCTGTGTGTAAGCAGTAGATGACCCAGCCTTATTCTATGGATTGAAGAAGTAAAGCTAGTTCAATTGCTCTTTACTTCAAAGAGCAGCCTTCCTTTCTTTAAAACTGGCCAGGGCCACCTCCGTTCAGCTGTAGCCTGGGCGTCAGTGTATTGTCACTACACACTCGGAGAGAGGCAGCCGTGCACTATCGTTAAGTCTTCTGTGAGAGAAGCCAATTACTCTGTGATTTGTTTTTTATAATAGCAATAATGTTGACTGCATTCTAATACAATAAAGGTCTGTTGAGATTGTTACGTGCCTGGGCTCCCATTCAGTGGACTTCAGTTTTGGTGAGCTAGCGGGTGCTCGTATGTGTTTTAAAGCATTAGGGAATCTTCAGTTGCGTTTTTAGCCTCTAGTCAACAAGTTTCCACGCAGTCATCGACACTCAGTTATTTATACGCCTCGCAAAGCTTTAAGGAATCTTCAGTTGTATTTTAGCCTGTAGGCAAATTATGGAGTCGCTAAATTATTTACAGTACTGAATTACTTACGGTGCGGCAAAGTAATTAGAAGATTGTTCTGTTCCTGAACTGCTTTGGTGTTTAACAATTTCAGGGTTTGGGTTTCACAACGCACTCGTTTCTTGAAAGACAACGTCTTCCAATGACATGTTCACAGTGATGGCAGCTCTTCTTGTGGGCCGATGTCTGCCTTCCGAGGGTGTTTCTAGTTTTGTGCCTTGGTACAATGTCATTACAAAATAACTTCAATTTGCTTTCAGTGACTTACTTATTGCCTACAAACTGTTGTTCGGGACACTGTTGTCGTAGGAAAGAAAGAAGCAAATGATACTAAGAAAGTTCCTGTCCACGTCCTGTGGGCCAGGGCACAAATAAGCGACAGGTGAATGAAATCAGACAGAATTTAAATGAGTTACTAACACAGACAAATTTTTCTGTGGTTCACAGCAAAAATAAATATCATCTTAAATATGTGAGCAATTTCAAAAATTGAATTCTGAAACATATTTTAATCATTACTGAAGGAACAGTCTCAAAGCAGTCTATTGAATTTAAGATATAAGGCCAAATTTAGATCTTGGAGTAATACACTGAAATGCTTTTTCTAATTAGCAGACTTACTAAAGAAGAGGTTTCCTGAGACAGACCAAACATCTAGCCAGTCCGGAGTCTTATCTTTGGTAGAAATACAACGTCAGCATCAGTAGAAACATACTGTCTAGAAAAGATCTGTACAAATTGGTCTTTCCCGTAATGTATCTTTCACTTCTGGTAAACTGACGTTTCCTTTACCAAAATCTTTATGAACACCATCAGTTTTATCAGACAGATCTGTGCTCCATGAGTTGAATCCATCTTTTTTTCATTCATTTCTCCCCACGACGTCAGGTGGCATACTGAATTCCACAGCTCTGTTGTGTGGCAGAAGCAGTTGTGTTTGTCCTTGAACTTGCTTTCGGACTCCGTTGGCTGTACGCGGTTGCCGTCAGTTCAGAGAAGGTTAAATATTGCATTATCAAAAAGACCCAAAGTAGTTTTGTCCTACCAGCACCAGAAGTTTGGCACCCTGTGTCTGTCCTTGTGTGAAGGCGGTGTCCTTTCCGACTGCATTAGCTTGCTGTTGTCAAACATTGAGTCGATTCAGTGTGCGAATCTATCCATCGCGCCACTGCCTTCTGCTTGGGGTCTCAACACAATCTGCATCCCAGATGTCGTGAGAATAAGATATTTTTTTCTCCCTTGCATCGCTCTGCTGGTATTAGATAGAGGAAAACTGTGTTATCTCCAATGGATAAGTAAGAAAAAAGCATTTTTACCTGTCTTAGAAATGGTTCATTTCTGCAGGGACAAATTCAAATGTTCTTATGTGGGCTACTTTAGGTTCTTTTGTCACCAAAGGCACCTTGCCAGACTGTAAATTGTAGCACAAAAAAATTGAGATCCTCTGCCTGCTTTTCCGATCTAGCCAATTTTAGTACAGAACTTACTGGAACTTCCCCATCATTCTTTCAATGTGAAGAACGTGTCATGCGTGAAGTGACTGAAACGTGTATTATCTGGCGGGGCTATGCTTTTTTCCCTCATCATCTTTTAATTTTGCATCACATAAGGACTTTGTAAAACTTAATCAGAGATGATGGAGGTGAATGCTTCACAAGGTCGTTATTGCTCTCTGTGCCAAAACCATGTGAAGAAGATTGAGACGAAGGTCTCATGCTTGGGAAGAAATGCACCAAATGTAAAACATAGTTCTCCTCTCTCTGTCAGCGTAACCAGTTCCTAACAAATGGTGTAAGTCTATTTCACATATGATTTCCTTAAAAGGTGAGAGACAATTATGCAATATTGGTCATCTATTTAACACAGAAAAGCAGTTTATTATTTAAAAATAAATGAACTAATTGATATGGACATCATTTGACAATGTTTTCCGTTCTTAAAATTTTTGCTTTCAATTTGCTGCCTCACTCAGGAGGCTCCCTTAAGTTTGTTTCTTAAGGTAAGATTGGTTTCTCAGGCTCAAGTTTTATTTGGGTAAGAGCAATTTTTCTGTGGGTATATACGTTTATGTATTCATATACAAGCATCATTTACCCTCGGGCTTTTCGATATGTAAAAATCACAGTTGCACGAACCATCTTTTCTGCTAAGAAAGTGTACGCAAAACTGGAACAATGAATAAATGATCTGCTTCTCCCTTGAGGTTTGTGATTTCAATGTTTCATCACACTGACATTTTTGTTTCCCCCAACAATTACAGTCTGGTTTAGCTTTTTGTACAACAACCAAACCCCTCATTTCCAGCGCTACAGCAATGATTTTGAAGACACGTTAGTTTTAAGGCCAAACTGGCCACAGGGACCTTTTCCACTTACTTTTCTCCCCTTCATTGGTGAGCTAATTTAAGATATTCTTCCGTCTTTTCTCAGGTGCTAAAAATAGAGGTCAATTCCTTCACTGAAGGTTATGCAGTGAGGCTTTTCTTTATTTGAAGTTGACCAGCCATATACAACAAGTGCCTTTTTTTTTTTCTCTGAAGAACATGGGTTGCGCATATTGCTCTGTAAACTTTTTTTTTTTTTTAAAATCCATGGGCTATCGCATTCAATTGAACTTGCGTCTACAGAGATGCCCATCTTGGTTTGACGCACATCTAGAAGTGGTTGAAGTGATGCCGATTGCCAAAACTCACTCACTCTGTTTTTTAAGAGGCTTTTAAGACTTGGCTGTTCTTCCCACCTGCATAGTTCAGAGGTGGTTTTCTGAGTGTTTCTGAAGGAAATAAAAGTAATCTTGGGAATCAACATTATGTAGATACTGCAGATTTGTACTTCTTTCTGTTAGTAACAGCCTTTTGATACCTCTGCCTTACTCCGTTATCAGCTACTAATGGCCCTTGGTAGCAAAGAATAAAGGAGGAAAGTGAACGGCTACCATAACGAGCTTGCTTCTCCCCCCGTTTTCTGTGCAAGGAGCCTGAATGACAATTTTGTACTAATTTCAGAAAGCTGGACTAAAACACTATCCCGCTCACCGCACCCTCACGCTCTGGATACGTGTCCGTGGCCTGGAAACACCGTTGTGGCTGTAAGCACCGACCCCGGAGAGCCCGGGCACGGGGCTGGGCTGTGCCTGGCCGCTCTCCTGTAACCGCCCCACTGCGCGGGGCGCAGACACAAACCTGAGGCTCTGGAAGCGTACCTGAGTCGGAAATAAATGTCATGGTCAGACTTCTCATAATTTAACCACCCTAGCGCTAGTGCTGGCTATTCTCTCTTTAGTCTCGTTCCTTTGC